CATTAATATTTTATTTTCGTTGTATTTTATCCATGATATTGAAAAATAATTGGCAATCCTATTCATCCCCTTTTAGGCTTACATCTTAGATCCAACATATACTTGTCTATGAATGGATATAACTATATCTTAAAGGTTGCTCATGCTTAAACTTAATCTAGCAGATCAAGATGCATGTAAAGTGTAAACGAATTACATGTTGAATTTATTCTAGTTTGGTAATGATATGTTAGAGCATGAAATTGTAACTCTCAGATGTCACCTCAACTTCGAAGTTTCAATGGGGGTGAAAATGAACATTTTACATACTTGCATCAGGTTTTTCATGGAATCTTACTGTAGATATAGATGTCTGATGATATGTATCCTTAAACTTTTCGCCCATAAATTGGCGAACACAATAAAAATGGTTTCGTTTTCCCTAGAAATCACCTTAAAATAGGAAGATTACATGAAAACCAGCTTATAATATCAATTTATACATAAATCATCTTTAAAGTGGGTTTTTGTTGCAATCAAGAATGTTCCAATTAATTTGTTTCACTACATCCAAAATTACCCTTTAAAAACTCACATTCAAAGCAAATGACTAGAATATAATTCCCATATTTTGAATTTGAATTTTTTTTAAACTTGTTTTTTGTTTTTTAGTAAAAATTTAATTTGGATGTGGCTGGTTGCAATGAAAACTCACTTTAAATATAATTTATGTATAAATTAAAATTAAATATGATTTCTGACATAATTTTTAAAGTAGCTTCAATGGATCACACAATTTTTTTAAAGGGAAAATTGTGTCAATGCTCCCATTTTCATCAGCCCATGTGAATAGCCCCTTCAACCTTTCTCCCATGTGTAAAAGCCCTTAAAACCCAAAAAAGTGTGATTCAACTATTATTCACTGCTAACTAAGTACATATAGAGAAAAAATATAAAGCAATGCCCTTATTTCCTTCTCTCTCTTCTCTCCTTATCTTAATCTTCATGGCTGCTCCTCCCTTCTCTCATCTCCTCCTCTCTCTTAACCATAATCTTCCTCCTCTCTCCCTCTTCCTCCTTTCGCCCTCTAACACCAATATCCCCCTCTCATGCCTCCCTCTTTACCACCACCGACCTCGAGTGCACCCTCTAACCACACCATTTATCGCATCCCCCTCCACCACCACCACCCTTAGATGCTTGCTCCGGCCCTGTTGTCTCTTTCTTTCGCCTCTTGTTCTGCCACCACCAACCTCGAGCATTACCTCCAATGTCTATGAGAGGACATCCTTCTCCGAGATCACTGCCAAGAAGAGGGTGTTCTTTCCTCAACTCAAGAATCTACTGTGAGAGATGTTCTCTAGAGATTGCTCCTAACTCATCTCTACAGCTTTCACTTTAAAGTCCATGATGTCTGTAATGGAATTGTATTCCTTTGGATTGTTAATTTTGATAGGGAAGTAGGCCATAAGAGACTCTAGATCATATATGGATATGGAGTTGAGTATTGTCTTTGATGCCCAACAAATGTTCAATGTATTGCTTACAAGATTAAGATTTTATATTTGTTACTCTTTTTAGTAATTTATTTGGTATATTAGTTCGATAACTGGTTTTAAATAATGAACATTGTTTCTTTAGCTTTATGTTCAATAGGAGATTTTGGCTTTCTTTGAGTTAATTGCAGAATACCTTGAATAATAAGCCCACGCCACGAGATAGTTCTGGTTTCAAAATGTGCAATTTTTGTGTTAAGTCTAAGTCTTTATCTGTGAAATTTAAGTCATTTCATGTGAAGTTTAAGTCATTTTGTATTAAGTTTATGTCATTTCATGTTAAGTCTAAGTCATTTTCTATAAAGTTCAAGCAATTGTGTGTTAATTCTAAGTCATTTTGTATTAAATATAAGTCATTTCATGTTAAGTCTAAGCTCTTCCTTATGAATTTTAAAGCATTTCCTATGAAGTTTAAGTCATTTTGTGTTAAGTCTAATTAAGTCATTTACTGTTATGGATATGTAAATGACTTAGACTTAACACAAAATGACTAAAACTTCACAGAAAATGCTTTAAAATTCACTTAAAATGATTTAGATTTAACACATAATGACTTAGACTTAACACACAATTGCTTAAACTTCACAAAAAATGACTTAGACTTAACAAGAAATGACTTAGACTTAACACGAAATGATTTAAACTTCACAGAAAATGACTAACACTTAACATAAAATGACTTAGACTTAACACACAATTGCTTGAACTTCACAAAAAAGGACTAAGACTTAAATAAAATGACTTAAACTTAATTCAAAATGACTTAAACTTCACAGAAAATGACTTAAACCTCATAGATAAAGACTTAGATTTACACAAAATTTACATATTTTAAAACTAGAACTATCTCGTGGCATGGTCTTATTACTCGAGATACTCTTCAATTAACTTAATTGTAGCCAAAAATCTCCTTTTGAACATAAAACTAAAGCAGCAATGTTCATTATTCAAAACTAGTTATGGAACTAATATACCAAACATAAATCACTAAAAAGAGTAACACATATAAAATCTTAATATTATAAGCAATACATCAAACATCTACTGGACATCAAAGACAATACTCAACTCAATATCCATACATGATCTAGGGTCCCTTATGGCCTACTCCTATATCAAAATTACTAATCCAAAGGTATCCAATTCCATTACAGACATCCTGGATTTTGGAGTGAAAGCTATAGAGATGAGTTTGGAGCAATCTCTAGAGAACATCTCTCGCAGCAAATTATTGAGTTAAGGAAAGAACACTCTCTTCTTGACAGTGACCTCGGAGAAGGATATCTTCTCATAGACATTAGGGGTAATGCTCGAGGTTGGTGATGGCAGAGGGGGAGGCGATAGAAAGAGACAACAGGGCCGGAGTGTACGTGCACCCAAGATCGGTGGTGGCGGAGGGGGAGGCGAGAGAGGGAAATGGTATGGTCAGTGGTGATAAAGAAGGAGGCGGGAGAGGAGGATGTCAATGTCGAAGGGAAAAAGGAGGAAGAGGGAGAGAGGAGGAAGATTAGAGTTAGGAGAGAGAAGTAGATGAGAGAAGGGAGGAGCAACCATGAAGATTAAGATAAGGAGAGAAGAGAGAGAAGGAAATAAGAGTATATTTAGGTTTTATATTTTTTTCTCTTTGTACTTAGTTGGCAGGGAATATGGGCTAAATCACACTTTTTTTAGGTTTTGAGGGCTTTTATACATGGGAGAAATGTTGAAGGGGCTACTCACATGAGCTGATGAAAATTAGGGCCTTGACATAATTTTTTCACTTTTAAAGTAGTTTCCGGGGGGAGGGATAAGGCAGTTACTAGATTGGGACCAGGACTCATTTACTGGAGTCTAATCTTGCTACGAAAGTGTTTTTTGTGATGTTCCCAAGTCCGAATCCGAGTCTACGGGGTAACCAGAGATAGCCAGACCCGGACTCAAGCAATATCTGGTCTGATTTGTCTTCGGGTTCCATTAGAAAATAGGTACTACCAGGCGAGATTTCATCAAACACCATTGTGCTTAATTTGGACTCATTGTCAACAACCATCATTGTGAATACCTATACTACTATACAACGAACATAATGGAGGTAGCAAAAGTTGGATAACAGGTGATATTTTCCTCCTTTTTATTATAATTTGTTGGGTAAAATGGTAGCAAGATATATATATTTTTTCCTTTTCCATTCTTTTCATTCTTATTTCTAGAAGATTCTAAATTATGACGTGAGAATAGGATTGGGACTACAATAATTAAGATTGTAATTTTTCGAGAGAAACATTTATTTTCTTTCTTTTCTTTTTTTTTTTAAAAAAAATTCTAGAACATTCTAAATCATGAAATGATAATACACACATGATTAAATTGTAATATCCCCATTTCCCTTTTTTTAATCACTTACTTCAGTTATATTATCCTCAATTAGAAAGCTACTTAGTAAAGTTGTGTTAAGGATAGATTTAAATGATAAGCAATAGTTTGAGATACATTTTCTATGCAGAGCTCCATAATAAAATTGAATAAATTAAATCATAAGCAAACTATTAAATCAAAATGTAAGGCGAATCATATAACTGAATATTTTTGCACACGCATGGCATGTGCCAATATGCTAGTGTAGTTGAAAAACAGTATGTATTCATTACTTGTCGTTCTAAGGCTACATTAAAAAAAATCGTAACTTAAAAAAACAGAAAATCACCCTTAAATTTAGGCGTTATCAGAAAAACAACTAGAACTTTAAGATTTTTTCAGAAAGCCACATAAGAATGTAAACAACAACTTCCACTAAATAAAATATCCCCCGCATAATTTTATCTACCGATGTGAAAGTTGTGGCAACCACTGCTAGGGTTCTTTTTAATAAAACATTACAGTTAAAAGAAGAATTTCCGATAACCCCCAAGTTAAGGTGGTGTTTTCCAATGTTTTAAAAGTTACGGAGGGTATTCTAACTAATAGTCAAATGCTAATGGTACTTTTCGGAATTTAGCCTTGTTTTGTCTACGGTAATTAAAGAATGTCATTAAGTAGGTGAAGCTGAAGCAATAAATGCGTTTGATTACAGCCTCACGCGATTATAGTTTTCCATCAGATTCCTGACCGCCGCTACGACAACTTTTTCATGCTGCAGGGACGCAAGCTGAACAAGTGTTATTTATTTATTTATTTACAACGCAATTGAAGGATATCTTCTGCAGAGATGAACTGTCGCACACCCCGTTTCGGTGCGTTTAGGGAATTATTATTAGGGTGCTTCCAGCGACGAGACACTCCTGATGCAGATAAGTACATGGGCAAGCAACATTAAATTAACCTCCATTAACAAAAACATTAGGGGTTATCAATGCGTACGAACTTTTAAGTCAATCAACACTCGGTCATTTTATTAGTGTTCACACCCCAAGTCCTGTCCTCATCTCCCACGTGCCCCACGTGCTCCCTCTCCTCGAGATCCCCAATATAAGCGCCCCCCTCTGCTCGTTACTCCTCCCCTCCCCCTCCCTGCCTCTCTGCAAACCACAAACAAGAACAGGAAGAAGGAAGGAAAATAAATAAAAAAAATAAAAATCAAAAAAAAGGTGGGGGTGAAAATGCTCCACGTCGTCCTCAGCTATCTGACCCCCGCCGTCCTCTTCCTCCTCCTCAACCTCGTCATCGGCACCATTGCTTTCATCTCCTCCCGTGGGCCCCGCAACGAAGCCGGGCCCGCTCCCAAGCTCTCCCGCTCCCCTTCTTCCCTCCTCTTCGAGCGCCTCAAATCCTTCAACCTCTACTCCTCTCACCGCCCAACCGAACCCCAAACCGTCGAAACACCCGAACCCGAATCAGAAACTCAGCCCGAACCCGAATCCAACCCCGAGCCCGAACCCGATGAGAACTGCAACATAACACGAAGCCGGTCGGACACGAAACCGGCGGCAGGGGAGATGCCGGCGAAACTGGCGAGGAAGTTGAAAAAGTCGGCGACTTTGAAGTCGGCTTTCAATCACTTCGAGTTTGAGGCGGCGGCGGGGGGGGAGAGGAGGAGGACGTCGAC